AGGTAGCCGAAAAGTTAGGATAGGTTAGGTTAGGTTGGTTAGGTAGTCGAAAAATAATTAATTCATGAAAACTTGGCTTATTAGGCAAATCGGACCTTGCATAGTAGGCTGAGAAGTGCGTTCTGGCTACTAGGTACGACATATATATATATATATATATATATATATATATATATATATATATATATATATATATATATATATATATATATATATATATATATATATATATCGTATGTGTGTCTTTATATTGTTACTGATTTATAGTGCGTCTCTCATATTGTGTACGTATATAAATGTGTATATATATATATATCTATATTTTGCCTATTGTATTTAATTTGTATGTTATGTGTTGTATGTGTTGGTAGAGCTGCCACTTACTTCTAGCAGATAAGTCCAAACCTTCCCAGCTCTGTCATCTAATATTTTGCACCAGGTGAACGATGCATAGCAAAAGCTATCATCATTTTTATTTGTCTTTAAGGTAAAATGACAATAAAATTATGCGTCTATTTTCTTCTTTGAAGGCAAAAGTTTCTTGCTATTGAACATATCACAAAAAATAGCATTAAGGGCAAAAATTGTTTTACGTATCAAATACGACCTTTTATGATACTAATTTCAATACTTTTATGAGAGTAAACTTCTCAGAAACATGTTTTTACTCAAATATCTTTCCTCGTTTTCCTAAATTATTTATTTTTCCCAAAAATGGTTCATTGAAATGGTGGATATTTAGCTGAGGGAGAGCAGGAGACACACACAGCCTCCGCCTGGCAGGGACCGGGCCTCGCTGCTCAGCATGCCCCGAGGTGCGGAGTGCGGCGCAACACCTTCGCAATGCATTCATGTACTAAGTGGTTCCTGCACCCAGTCACTTCCCTGTCCTGCAGCTGACTGCTGGCTCCTGACCCTTGCTACCCTGCAGCTGACTGCTGACTCCTGACCCCCCGTCACCCTGCAGCTGACTGCTGATTCCTGACCTCCACCACCCTGCAGCTGACTGCTGACTCCTGACCCCCGCCACCCTGCAGCTGACTGCTGACCCCCGCCACGCTGCAGCTGGCTGCTGATTCCTGACCTCCACCAGCCTGCAGCTGACCTCCGCCACCCTGCAGCTGACCCCCCCCCCCCAACCCTGCAGCTGACTGCTGACTCGGTACACAGAACACGTTAAGCAGCGTTACTTTAAACATTAATATATCTGTGATCAACAGAGTGCTCAGACGTTTCACAGGTCAACATTTGCAATGATCTATTGTTTGGCGGCGAACACTTAATATGGTGAGCTGCTTCCCTTGCGCATAAGGCTACACATGCCTCACTACATACACCTGCACATATATACACACATATATCGCATCTAATAGCCAGAACTGCACTATTTGGCCTAGTATACAAGGCAAAATTTACCTAACAAGAGTGATTTTCGTTATTTGAAAATCATTCTTTCCAATTTTGTTTATTCCAATTAATGTTATGTAACATTAAGAACGTAACTTACTGACTTAGGTTAAGTTAGCTTTTAAACATTTCTATGTTAGTTTTAACTCAACAAAATTCATCCATAAAAGATTTATCATTCCATAAGAAATAACTTAAAAATATAATTTTTCAGGAGAATTCGGCTTGATAGGCAACTTGGCCTATTAGGTACAACATAAATACATATAAAGTGACAGGCACAAATAGGACGTAAACAGTGATGGTGGCAGTGACGTAGCGCGGCTGGACAGTGACAAGACAGTGACGTAGAGCGGCTGGACAGTGACAAGACAATGACGTTGAGCGACAGGACAGTGACAAGACAGTGACGTAGAGCGACAAGACAGTGACGTAGAGCGACAAGACAGTGACGTAGAGCGACAAGACAGTGACAAGGCAGTGACGTAGAGCGACAGGACAGTGACAAGGCAGTGACGTAGAGCGGCTGGACAGTGACAAGGCAGTGATGTAGAGCGGCTGAACAGTGACAAGACAGTGACGTAGAGCGACAGGACAGTGACAGGACAGTGACGTAGAGCGACAGGACAGTGACAAGGCAGTGACGTAGAGCGACAGGACAGTGACGTAGAGCGGCTGGACAGTGACAAGACAGTGCCGTAGAGCGGCTGGACAGTGACAAGACAGTGACGTAGAGCGGCTGGACAGTGACAAGACAGTGACGTAGAGCGACAGGACAGTGACAAGACAGTGACGTAGAGCGGCTGGACAATGACAAGACAGTGACATAGAGCGGCTGAACAGTGACACGTAGAGCAGTGACGTAGAGCGGCTGGACAGTGACAAGACAGTGACGTAGAGCGGCTGGACAGTGACAAGACAGTGACGTAGAGCGGCTGGACAGTGACAAGACAGTGACGTAGAGCGGCTGGACAGTGACAGGACAGTGACGTAGAGCGGCTGGACAGTGACAAGACAGTGACGTAGAGCGGCTGGACAGTGACAAGACAGTAGAGCGGCTGGACAGTGACAAGACAGTGACGTAGAGCGGCTG